CCAGTGAGTATGTTAGAGTGTGACTCCAAGTTCAGTCATGGCCTGCCTCATCTTGGAAGCTTGTCCATTGACGTTAAACTACAGCCAGAAAAGACATAATGTCACTTTCTCGGTGCTGGGAAGGGCCTCAGACAGGAGAGAGACAATGGGTCTCAGGAAGTCTTCATGAAGAAGATTAGCTAGATCTTGGAAGGAGGATGAAGACAGGGAATTATTTTATTCAGCATCTACTGTACTGACCACTGGAGACCCCTCCCACAGAGAGCTTCATTTCATGTACACCAACTTGGGACTGGAAAACACCAATCTCTTTCACACAGTAACAATGTGAAATAAAGAGGAAACGTGGACTTCCAAAGGTTCCTATGCGCTGAGATCTAGAGCTAGGGTGGGTAGCGGAGGTAGAGACTGGGGAGGGGTTGTCATCCTGGATGGAGAATGGATGGCATGCACTGGTGGGATCTGGTGGTCTGCGGCATGTCCAGGAAGCAGTAAGATGCCCTGCTGACCTGGGTCCAAAATAAGCTAAAAAGAAATACTAGAAAGGTCTTTTGAAGACAGATGCACAAAAGCCCCCAAATGATGAGATGGAAGAGGTGTTTTGGCTTGGTGTTAGGAGTCAGTTGCTCTTATGGATGAATGGATGAAATGAAGAATTGGTCACCAGTCTGCACAAGAGTCTGGAAGAACTGAGTTTGCTATTACTTTGAAAGTCACCGAGACTAGCCTGGCTTGGTAGCACATGCCTGGAATCCCAGAACTCTGGAGGCTGAGGCAGGATGATCATAAATTTGAAGTCAGCCTGTGCTATGGAGAGGGACCTTGTCTTTAAAAAACAGGGAAGGAAGGAAAGAAGGAAGGAAGGGAGGAAGGAAGGAAGGAAGGAAGAAAGGAAGGAAGGAAGGGAAGAAAGAAGGAAGGAGGGAAGAAAGGAAGGGAGTCACAAAAAGAATTTAGGGGGACCTGAAGAGATGGAGATAAAAGGAAAATGTAACCTCTCCCCTTTTTTTAATCACCCAAGGTGTCCACTTGGCTCTTGGGTTTGTAACTGCTTGGTGTGAAAATTCCATAGTGAAGTAAAGGACTGGTGCTTGGTAGCTTTCTGGTAGGCGGGGGATTCCCAATTTGCTTACAGAGTTCCTTAGACTACTAAAAGAGCCCCCAGCACACTGTGCAGCCCTCTGCTGCCTGCTGCACGAACCGAGACACTAGTCTCTCTGGGCTTCTCTGGGATCCCTCTCTCCACCATCTTTTGAAGGCCCTAGGTCTTCATTTGCTTTTGAATGTCTTCCTCACCCTTGCCAGCCTTCATGGAAGGATCTGATCTTTCAGAAAGAAATGACTTACGGTCTCATCGGGCGGCTTCATCCAATCAGAAGCAGTCATTAGCATAAATACAGAGATAGTAACTCTCGAAGCCATTCTTTCTATGTTTTAACATTCTTCCTACACACACTTTAGCCTGCCTTTTTTTGTTTTTGATGGAATAAACTTTCTTTGAGTTACTCTGCTATTTGAAGATACAAACCTATCAACCATTGCACGGTCCTCAGAACATTGGGAGAACACCAGGGGTTAATGTCTCCCTATCAGTGAGGTTCAGACTGGCTGGCCTTTGGAGCTGATAGATGTTTTACTTTGGCCTTATAAAGACATTTTATCCGCTGGAAACCCTTGTCGCATGACAGGATCAAAAATAGCCCTCTGCAGCCTCTGCTGTCCGTCACCACATGTAAACTGGCAAGAGAGGGATTCTCATAGCTGTGTCTGCACATTGTGGACATATCAGCTCTGGGGACAGCTTTATATACAGCCACACCTGTCACCAAGGGTGAGCCAGTCTCCTGATCTGCCACAGAGTTCACTGTGTGTGTGTGTGTGTGTGTGTGTGTGTGTGTGTGTGTGTGTGTGTGTGTGACCATGTGCCTGGTTTTTGACATGCAGTTAAGAACATCTCTGAGTGTCCTCAGAAACACTTGGTGACATGGTTTCCACTGGCACTGGGAAAGAGCTGCGATTCTAGTAAAATCGGATGTATTTTTATCTCGGGAGACAGAGTTCACCACCCTCTCTGATAAATTCATCTTTTCCATGGATGTTCTTAACGGGTGCTTCCAGTAGAATTCTGAAGAGACAAAAAGCAAAAAAAAAAAAAAAAAAAAAAAAAAAAAAAAAAAAAAAAAAAAAAAAAAAAAAAAAAATCTATGTTTTTGAAAAAGCCTGAACGTTCTGTTTTGTGTTGAGTTCTTTAGAATTTGAAGATGGTTATTTGTGCTTGTGCTACTAATAAGTTGGTTTTGTTGACAGCCAGATAGCATGCCTGTGTTCTATTTTTAGAAAGATAGGGGGTTGTAAGGGAGATTCGTTTAAAGAAAGACAAAAATAAGCCAGATATTTGAGGTACCACTTTATAATAGGGTGGTGACGAACCGTAAGAATGACAGCTGCAACACACAGGATCTCATAAACAAACCTCCTGTGATTTTTTTTTTAACCAACTCTTAAGTGAGGTCCTCGGGTCTGTCCTGTACATGAGCCAAGAATGTAGCATTTCAGACAATGCTTGATTTTTGTTTCATGTTCTTGGCTGTTTACAAGGTGACCTGTAACCATACAACTGGACTGTACAAAATGTTAACCAACTGGGCAGATTGAAATCCATTTCTTCTTCCTGGGAGGCTAACTTAAGAGTTAGTGGGCACACAGAATAAGTGTCGCCTTACAATTTGTATCTTCTAAGTCTCTATTAAGTCCGGGGACATCTGGTTGTGTTTTCCTGTCCCTAACTTCTCCATCGACCTCCTCACACCTCACCCCCTTTCTGTCTGTCTTGCATAGAGACAAGCAAACTGGCTGAGCCTCAGTTGTCTGATAGTCGCACAGGTTTGATTGATTGTTCTGTCCTTACGGAAAAATAATAAAAGAGAGAGCGAGAGCGTGCTGCACACCTTTGGGAATCACTGCTGGGGCTGTAATGGCATTTTGGTAGCTTCCCACAACAGCCTCTGTGAGCCGAGTGAGCTGCACTATTGCCGTTTCAGGAGTGTGACTGCTGTGTTACCACACTTGTGAACTTTTAAACTCCTGGTTTGGGGTTTTTTATTTTTATTTTATTTTGTCGCCTGCTTCTTTTGTAATTATGTTTTTTAATCAGGGTGACTGAGGTTGCCGAGAGATTAATGTGTGCTGAGTCTGCCTAGCGATTTCAAATAGGGTTGCCATGATAAAGAAGAGTTGCAGTCTATTCCCCCGTTAGCCGCCAGGCCGTCTCTCCCGCAGAACCATGTAATGTCAGACAATCTTCTGAGTCCCGTACTCACAGAATGGATTTTTCCTATTTGTTAGCCTTATCTTTCTTATATGAACTCGGGACAAATGTTTTAGAAGCCCTCATGAAACCCCTTGTTAAAATCTCTCTTCCATGCACAGCCTTGGCAAACCATGATTCATTTTCCAAACTTGGCATAAATGAAACTGCATGGTTCAAAGTCGTAAGTGAAAATTCTAGCAGGGAGAATGTCATTCTGTTTTTTGTTGATGAATTCTCTCTAGGGTGCATCAAATGGACCACTAAAACGTAGATATTATGGCAACCCTATGTTGATAGCAACCACTAAATTTGAGTTTGTCTCCATCTCTGAGCAAAAAGTTCCACTAGAGATGACTGTTGCCTGACTTTGTTTCTCGTTTCTTAACAGGATCCCTGCCCACTACGTCTACCCGCAGGCTTTTGTGCAGCCTGGAGTGGTTATTCCCCACGTCCAGCCCACAGCAGCTGCGGCTTCCACCACGCCATACATTGATTACACTGGAGCTGCCTACGCACAATACTCAGCCGCGGCCGCAGCCGCTGCAGCAGCTGCAGCCTATGACCAGTATCCCTATGCAGCATCCCCAGCGGCCGCAGGCTACGTGACCACTGGGGGCTACAGCTATGCTGTCCAGCAGCCAATCACCGCCGCTGCACCTGGGACAGCTGCGGCTGCGGCTGCAGCAGCTGCAGCCGCAGCAGCCTTTGGCCAGTATCAGCCTCAACAGCTGCAGACAGACAGAATGCAGTAGACCCGCCGTCTGATCAAAGTCAAAAGGGTTTCTCTTTCCCTCCCAATTTCCCAGTTTTAGTAGCTGATGAGAACCATAATGTTGACTTAATAGCTTTAAAGGGAGAGAGCAAAACTATTGTGAAGCAGAGGCATTAACTTTTTTTTGTACTCCGGGTTGTGCTGCCGATGGAGACGGGAGAATGGGAGGGCAAGAAGCAGTTTTTGAAGTCAATCCCAAAGAGCCTGAGTTACACAGAATAGCCACTAGGACCTGATGGCAGGGTTATCAATGGGACTTCACTTTTGTATCGGGATTTTTATTTTTTGCTCTTTTTATAGTATCAGGGAAGCAAACTGCCTTTTCCAAGTTAGAAAATGCTATGTGAATCTAGTTGAACCAGGGAATATGGAGTGAGCAATATGTAGCTTGCATTATGTGTAAAAGTAGATTTTTAAAAACAAACACGATGGCAAAAGCGCTGGTTGTCCTTCGTTGCAGTCACTGCAGCCTGCAGAACCTTATTGAGGCATAAGGTAGCATTTGCGCTGTCTCAAAAATGGGCATCGAACAATCAGTTTCCGAGAAGGGCAGCAGGTACAGTGGTAGGCAGGCACCAAAGCTATTTTCTCATCTGTCCTGTAGACTCGTGGGATTGTGGAGCAATTGATACTGTACCAGCCGCTCAGACAATCAATGGCACACACAGTTCTGGAAAGGGTCCGTCACTTGTACTTGTTGAGAGGAGCTCGTCACATACTAATCCCTGTCCCCATCCCTTTCACTTGGGGAAACTTGCATCTGCTGGTCAGGCTTTCACCACCACCACTTTTCTATTTATTGTACGGACTGGGGGTTATGGGTAAAGGCAGGCGAGGTTTGCAGATGCTCAACCCTTCAGGACTGTCTGGAGGGCCTTTATTTTCTTCCCCTGTTTCAAATCATTTTACACCTTTTAGTATCTATTTCAGAGTCCTATTTAAAACTATTTATTAGTGACTACAGTACCTAAGACAGTAAGGTTCTTGACATTACAATTCTTTGATGGTTGATGGTCGTGTACTTTCTAATGTGCCTTAATAATAATCCTATTTAAGATATTTATTTTTAAGTTTTACTATGCCGCACTCTAAAGGAAGGAACTTTAGACGTGACACTGTAAAATTATGTATTCATCTCATGGCATAAGTTATTTAGTAGGTCTAGATGTAGTGTATTAAATATTAACCTATTCAACTAAAGATGTTGGCTTGGATTTATTTAAATTCATATGTGCACTGTTCAAGATGGTACTCTTACCTGAACACATTTGAGTCTATTTTAGTCTTGAGATTTTTTTTAACAAGCTACGTTGCTGGTTTTGTGCTTCCTTCTCTGGGTTATTTTACCCCTGTAGATCTCATCTATTGGGAACTCATGACTTCCCTACTTTCCTTGTGTAGTGTATGTAGTTTTAAAATACTGCTTTATATTTTCCTTCTGAAAGTGCGATACTTGCAATTTTTACTCTTAAACTAAATTGAATACTATTTTACACTGTATTGGACTTTTATACTTGAAGAACTTCATACAAGGGACAACAGGTTAGCGTTTTTATGGACTTTCTCCATTGTCACTGGATTTAAGGATTCCCGTACCAGACAGTGGTGTGCAATGGAGACGTGGCTCTCCTGTGCAAATTATTTATTTGTTGTGTATATCGCTTTATAACATTTCAGATCTTCTAATCTATTCACTTGTATTAAATATAATTTTTAAAAACTGCTGTTGCATTGGTTATTTCTAGTTCTGCCGGAAAAAGGAATGGTTCTCTTTCTAATTAGTTTTCTCATTTTGAGAGAGGCTGACTGTGAACTCTTGATACAGCCAAGGATAACCTTAAACTTTTGATCCTCCCCTACTGAGTTCTGGCAATGCAGGCACGGACCACCATGCCTATGGCTTCTCAAACTTGGGGCAAGCACTCTTACCAACTGAGCTATATTCCCAGGCCCCAGCTTAAAAACAAAACAAGAACAACAACAACAACAACAAAACTAGTTTGATTAATCATGCCTCGTGGAAAACTTTCTGAGAACATTGAAATCTCTTCGAGGTCCTATCTTTCAACCTTTAAATTGTATTTTACTAAATACTCACCTTATGTGTAACAAACAGACCATTCCCCTAAACTGAATCCTAAAGGAACAGTCATCTCACTGAAAACTGGTGATGGCTGGGAAGGAAGAAGTGGGGATATCACTATAATGCAAAGTCCCCAGTGGGGATGTCTTACTTTTTAACAACAATGCAGTAATACCCAGTAAGGTATGCATTAGTAAGACAAGTGAGCAATGTATGTTAAAATGTCAAGGGAGTGACTGTATTGATTATCTTAAAGAGTGTATGCTACTTTCATTTTACTGTACATAGTTTGGGAATTCTTGGTCCTCATGTCTCCCAGGTCCATGGAGTATCTTGAACTTTATTAGTTTTCAGTAGTTGGAGGCGACAGAAAAGTGTACAAGCAGGCCGCCATGCTTTCTAACCATCCTCCCATTTGGAACCATTGAAGGTTCAAACTTCAATTGCCTTTCATTTAGAAGAAAATGCAGACAGCTGTTTATCCCCAGTGGGAGATCAAAATGTACCTTGGAGCTATCAACAATCAGTAGACTCATGTCTAAGCTGCTAAGTGCACCAGTGGCCATTTTAATTTTTCAGATTTATGAAAGGTCACTTACTTGGTTCTCAACAAGTCATCTATTGCTGAACTTGAAGTAATGTTTGATTTATTGATTAAAAATAGGTCAGACAGTTCCAAGGAAAGCACATTAAAAATAGCCAGACTCAGGAAAGCCAAAAGTCCACCTATTCTGGCTAACATGTACATTTCCTTAGAATATTTCCTGATGTATAGTAATAGAAAGATTGGCACTTTGTAATGTTAATGCATACATTTATAAAAAGAAATGAAAATTAATTTTATTAATATCCAATAAAAAGGAAAGAGATCATGATGCAACATCTACACTGGCCTGGCAGGCCACTGGTATTTGAGAGGACAGTATATCTGAGCTCAAGATGTGGAATGAGTCTTCTACTTAGCAGAATGAGTTTCTCTGCTGTGACTGGAGTTTTCTTGTCCTGCCTGGTCCTGTAGTCGCCTTTCCCCAAATAAACACATGGATGCTATATTAATTATTATAAAACTGTTGGCTGATAGATAGGGCTTCTTATTGGCTAGCTCTGTTTAAATTATGAATCCATTTCTATAAATCTATGTATATTTCACATGGTCTTGGTTTACCATAGAATGCCTGGACCTGCTACTCCTTTGGCAGCTACATGGATTCTCCTCATGGTGCCTCTCTCCCCAGCATCCTCCTCAGCATCCTCCTCGTCTCCTAGCCCCGCCTATCTTCCTGACTCTATTGGCCAAACAGTGCTTTAAGAGAAAAATATATACAGAAGGACTTCCCCCATCACTCTGCTTAGCAGTGGAGTTATATCCTGGAGTTAATGATACCATAGTCACTCTACCTTTCATGTCATGCCGATTAAATGATACAGGCTATGGCTTGTCTCCTCTATAACTCGAGTTGAGATTTAATTCTCTTTGTGCGATGTTCAGAGGTGAGTCCAGATGTGATTGTCAAGAGAATACGGCTCTGCATTCACCAAAAGAGTCATCCACTCCTGGATTTGTGGATTGATGGGTTAATGGTTTATCTCCAAGTGGATCTGCTATAGAAGCCACTTGGCTTAAGTCTTTTGTGTCTCCCTTTCTCTGACCACATGATGCTCTGCAGTATCTCAAGGCTGCCAGCAAGAGAGCCACTGCCATATGGGCCCCCTCCTTGTTAGGCCAGAACCATGAGCCAAAACAAATCTCATTTCTTTATAAGATACCAAATCTGTAGTATTGTGTTACTGGCAAGAGAAAAAGGACTATATGTGGTGGACTAACTGATAGGAAGGCATTTTAGAAATTGCAAGTATTGGGTGAGTGAAAATCAGACTGAGACAATGTAGCTTGAGGTTTTTTTTGTTGTTACTTTGTATTTTATGTTTGTTCTGCTTTTGAGACAGGGTCTCAAGTAGCTCAGATTGGCTATGAACTCACTAGGCAGCCAACGATGATCACGAATTGTTGATCCTCCTGCCTCCACCTCCTGAGTGTTGGGGTTTCAGGTGTATACCACCACATCTGGTTTTGTCCAGTATTGGAGATGGAACCTGGGCTTTGTGCATGCTGGGCAAATGCTCTACCAACTGAGCTACATTCCCAGCCCTAATGAGGCAATATTAAAATATTAATTTGGTAACTGACTTCAATCATCTCATTAAATGACCTTTCTAAAGAAGACCAAAAATTGAGTTTCATGATGTTATCTTTATTTCATCCCAATCTAATAATAATCAAGTCATCAAATAGCCAAAACTGCACAATAGCAGCAAACTCAAAAGTAACAGTGAAAGGGAAAGAGTTTACCATCTAGGGGAAGGGGGAGTAGACTCGAAGATTACAAAATACATTTCTCTCCCAGAGGCTCTATATTTAGTCCCTTCCTCGCTCCTGTCAAATGTTCTTAATTCCTTTGGAGTCTTAAAAGCATTCGTTAAGATGACAGCCCAATGCTCCGAAGGGGCAGAGGTGAAGATGAACAAAAAAATAAATAAATAAGTGCTTTTTCATGCTTACTTTTGTCCTCGCCTCTCCTTCAAGAGTTCCCCCGACTGTTTCCATGGAGATTTTAACTTTGTTTTTGCTTAAGCCCTTTGTATAAAAGAGATTTTCATTTTGGGGTTTGGTTCTGAGTGGGATTTTAGTTCAATAGTGATTTTTGCTTAAGTCATTTGCATGACAAGCTCTTTAAAAGTTCTGATATTTTTAATTGGCACAATAATTGTTCATATTTATGGGGTAAATATGATGTTTTGTTGCATATGTATGTAGTGCTATAATCAAATCAGGGTAATCTCAAAATAATTGTCATTTGTTGTGGTGAGAATATTTGTGGTTCTCTTGGGCAGTTTTG